ATATTCACTGGACTTTAAGTGTACGTAGAAAGACCAAAATTATAATACAAGCGTCCCGCTGAGGCAAAGTCCTGACAGACACAGAGGTGGAAATTGTTTTGTTCTGTTGATTAAACCATAACATGCCTGCATGTGAGAATATGTGAGACAATCAAATCCCTTTTTCCTAGAGTTGTGAAAACAAATGCACTAATCTTCCAAGAAACCGTGTGACTAAATGTCATCAGCTGAAGCCCATGTAATGTCAATAACCTGAATTTCTAGAACAAGAGATCACACTTTTTGTTCCATTGTCAACTACCAAAATGTGTGTGTGTGTGTGTGTGTGTGTGTGTGTGTGAAGGATGGTTTGACTGATATTACTTCTCAGAGAAGGGGGTGCATTCAAAGGTCTGGACCCAGGCAAAAGGATGGCATGACTTTATTAAGTTACTGTGCTACGTAACAAAAGTGGGTCATTTAGTCATGTTGGTCCTACTACACCGATTAATCACTGCATATCGTATCATTTTACCAGTAATTTGGCTAATTAAACAAAGGATGTTCTTTCCCAGCCATCTGATCCCAAATAGGCTGGTACATCCATGACGTTATTTCACCACATTTCCCCTCTGAGGGTCAATAAAGGTATCTTCTATCCTGTCTTATGAAAGGAAGAATTTAATTTCAGGTCAGTACTGTACTTTTTGTTCTGCTATTCTCATTTCTTCTTCTTCTTATCTGGCAAACCTGAAGCATGGCAGGATATGTATCATTCATTCATTCATTCAAATGTTTTGTGTTACAGTGGTATGAGAAATGAGAGCTTTTCCCAAATGGCATGGGACCATGACTGTTCACAAAATAAAAGTTTCTATTTACTTTCTTTACAATTTTCAGAGTGGGACTATATGGACTATTTCTTTAGTAGATTGTGAACCAAATCAAATATATTGACAGGGTAAAAGCGAAAGGGGCCTAATTTTGTCAATACTTCTTACATAGAAAGTTTAGTCACATGGGTGTCAAATGTAATAAGGATTTAACATCTGTAACAAGCTGACCAACTCAGTAAAAAGTGTAGATTTTAGTCACATGGGTGTTAAATATAATTAAGATTTAACATCCTTAACAGGCTGACCACCAGTTCAGTTATAAAAGAAGGTATTGTAGTCATGTTTTAGAAGTGAAGGACAAAATGAGATTTTACATTTGGTGGATCAAACCTGACAACTGACACACATTCAAAACTATTAAAGAATATACAGCATGATATATATACATTGTGGTTGTGTCCTCAAGCTGAATAAATCCAAACGTACTTTTTTTATTTACTCCTCTTCATCCGGGATTCATCTAGCTTCATCTTCTCCAACTCCAGTGACATAGTTCTGCGCCAGGTGGTTTTGGGCCTTGCAGGTTTTCTTTCGCCTGGTGGTGTCCATCTCAAGGCGACTCTCATGATCCGGCCCTGTTCCATTCTTAGCACATGGCCTAACCATCTCAAACATCTGTGTGTGATTTCCATGATGATGCTCTGGCTACCTGTTTTCTTATACAGTTGAAGGTTGGAGATCTGACATATTTGTCTGAGGCATCCACTGTGAAAGACTTCCACTCGCGTCATATCTGTTTTGACCACTCGGTAACTCTCTGAACCATACAGCAGGACAGATTTGACATTGCTGTTATACAAGAGCATCTTTGTTTTAAGGTTGTAATTAAAACATTTTAAGAAAGACAACGTTTTGATCTTTATTCAGCTTTTCTGTCATGGGGCGTACAGGCATTACTTTTTCCTCATGTAAATTATTTTTTGAAGGCCTTGCACCTACGTGATGTACGTCCAATTACTCGCCTACAGCTCTTGAAACTCTACCTTCACACAAATTCACGGAAGACAGCAAATCTGAGCCACCACAGACACTCACGAACTGCAGCACAGTTGTCTTTGTTCATTGTTAGAGCTTGATTCTCCTCAGTTATTAGTCGTTAATACACCAACACTGATGATTTGTTTCAGATTTCTTCAGCAAGCGCAAGTCAGGCGTTTACTTCTAAAAATAATAAAGTTTTAGTCAGCCTCGTTGCATGGTTCTACAGCGATGTCTGTTTGTTGGCCTGTCGGCTAGTCCACCACTTTGGTCCCAGCTGAAATATCTCAACAATGATTGGATGGTCCCCAGAGGATTAACCTTAATGACTTGAGTGATCCCCAGTGATCATCATCATCACAAATATCATACTATACTGTCATACTAATATCTAGTATTCATATTCTGTTTCGCTTTAGTTTGTTGGTAAGGTTTAGCAGTCTGGAAGCTTGCAGGTCGGTACACTCTTGCAGGCCATAAGTTCCAAGACAGTCATTGGTGCTTAGAGTCCCCGCTGCAAGTCTAACATCAATGAGTTGTCTCAGTTACTGACCCGATGTCACATTATGAAGTGAGATAGCATCTGGTGACTGCTCCAGTTTTCAGGCTGAAACTCCTGGTTTCTCCAGCAGTCTGGGTGTTGTGTTCACAGTCCCCTCAATTGTGTGGTCTCCTGGAATCTTTCCAAGGCAATTGTTCCTGTCTAGACATTTAAGTTCAGTAGGTTTGTGCGGCAGACATCTTCTAAAGTTCATCTTATCATAAGCAAATCGACACAGAATAAGCTCTAATTCAGGGGTGTCAAGCACACGGCCCACGGGCCAGAACCAGTCCACCAAAGGGTCCAATCTGGTCCACTTTGCTATGACTATAACTTTGCTAAGTGTAAAGATTGCAGAGACATCATTAATTCCACTTTTTCAATTAAATGCCATGCTGTACCCAGTGACGGCAGTGTCGGCTGCCGGAATCAGGCCAGCTGATTCAGTCTGGTTCTGGGGCATCATTAATGCCAAGTCTCAGCCGAGTCGGGCAACCGAATGCGGCCCAGCTAATTCCATCGGGCATGCCGAGTTCAGGATGATGCTGGGCCAGGTCATTTCTGATTACGACCCAGTGATGGCAGTGTGGGCAGCCGGAACCGGGCCAGCTGATTCAGCCCGATTCTGGGGCATCATTCATGCCAATTCTCAGCTTAGTAGGGCTACCGAATGCAGCCCAGCTAATTCCATTGGGCATGCCGAGTTCAGGATGATGCAGGGCCAGGTCATTTCTGATTACGGCCCAGTGATGGCAGTGTGGGCAACCGGAATCGAGCCAGCTAATTTGGCCCGGTTCTGGGGCGTCATTCATGCTAAGTCTTAGCCGAGTCCAGCAACTGGATGCGGCCTGGCTAATTTAATCTGGCACGCTGAGTTTGGGCCAATGCTGGGCCAGGTCATTTCTGATAACAGCCCAGTGATGGCAGTATTGGCAACCAGAATCAGGCCATCTTATTCGGCCCGATTCTGGGGCATCATTCATGCCAAGTCGGGCAACCAGATCCAGCCCTGCTAATTTAATCCAGCATGCCGAGTTCAGGCCAATTCTGGGCCAGGTCATTTTGGCTACCTTAAAACAGTGCCCACCGCTTTCTGCTCCAGAGTCTTTCTGATTATACCACAGGGAGGCGATGAAGTCAGAAATGTCCAAAATGTACACATAGTATCATTAAAGTTAAAAGTTTTGAAGCAAAGAAGTTATCTATCCATGTAGAAGGGTTTTTAACACATTTTGACTTGTCAATACAGGAAAACCACAGGTTTAAACAATTAGTAAGTGTGCAGGCGTTCGTTTTTTTCTCCATACTGATTCACACATTGATTTATGTTACCCACAGGATGCTCCAAGACTTTAAACTAAGGTTTACTCCCTAACCATCAGCAGAACTGAAGACTCCTCTTGGATGAGCAGCAACATGTCTCTGACTCCACAGATGACATATAGTCCTTGGGCACGGGCAGATTATGAGACAGTGGGCCCCTGGGCACGGATATGTGAAAAGGCCCAACCACCTTTCTTGCATAAGTACAAGGTAAACAGACGTTGTAGTGGTTGTGCCTTTTGTTGTTTTTGTATGGTAATAGTTATGTAGCCTACCCTCTTGTGGTTTTGTGTCTCTGTGGTAATTCTGGATCTCCTTGTGGTAGTTTCATGATGTTACTGTTCTGATCTTTATTTTAAAAATTACATGCCTCTTAATTTTTTGCTGCTGTATCTAAAATGGTATCGAGTATTGAATATTTTCCTGGGTATTGATATCGAGTTTGAAATTTTAGTATGGTGACAACCCTGTCACCATACTAAAATTTCAAACTCCACCACCTCCAGAGGATGATACATTATGTAGTGGAAGTTGTCATAATTTACAATACAAATCGCTGGCACTGAAACATGTCCTCCTCACCTTCCTGCAGCAAATTCTGCACTAATCTTAATACAATTCATTACATATATATGGAGACTTTTATCGTGACATATGGTCCTTCAGATATTTGTAATGACTTTTTGTCAGGAGAATTTCTTCTGCACATACACCACTTTCCAAACTGAGGATTCATTGCTTTTCACATGGCTTTGGGCCCCTGGGCACAGACATGCGAAAAAGGCCCAATGACCTGTTTTACGACCTGTGGCACAGCTCCACCCTCAGAGTGTCAGTCACTGAGTCAAGACTGGCACTTGGACTTATTTCTGCATTCATAATCCATAATTATCTACCGCACTGTGCTTTCCACGTGTTGTTTTTGACTTACCAGAACTTGTCTTGTGTATATATGGCTTCTCACGCAGCTGTAAGATTGTATTTATGACAACTGATCAAGACAGAATAGGCCTAACTGCACACAAACCATGTCTGAGCTCCACGTGAAGTCATGAGCCTGCTGTAGCAGAGAAGTCTGTCCACTTTCTAGTAAATAGAGATGATCAGAACTAATGAATGGGGACGGATATGATACAGTATGTGTCAAGTGATGAGCAGAACTCTGCTGCATGGGTTGGGGGGGGGGGCTTCTACTGATGGTGATGACATTTAACCTGCTGACGAAACTAAATGTTTGACGTATAGGCGGCACCTTGACGAATGATGCGCACGCGGCACAGAGTTTGGGCGTTATAAATTGGGTGAGCACCGGGAACAGGGTCAGCCTACCAGCCCTGCAGAGACCATCCACTCCAGGACTCATCTTTCCACCTCCTCCTCCTCCTCCAGAGTCAGACGGCGCTCCGACATGAACAGCCACTGCAACGCAAAGGTCAGCGACACCGTGGAGGAGTTCCATTGCAACAACGGCTTCAGCGACCTCATTATAGACGCCAAGAAGTCCGCCGCGCGCCGCAAGCACGAGACGTCCCGCAAAGAGGCCGAGGACAATTCCCGCTTACCCGTGCTCCAGGCTGCCTACACCAGCATCCTCCGGGAGCTCGGGGAGGACACGGACCGGCAGGGGCTGTTGCGCACGCCGCTGCGCGCCGCCAAGGCCATGCAGTTCCTCACCAAAGGCTACCATGAGACCATCGACGGTGAGTCAACAGCTTCATCTCTGGGGGCTTTTTCTTATGCACTCGTGTAATTTATCTAATGTAGTCTAATAGTTTTCTCTCGAAAATACAGAGACCCTTGCACACTGTGATGCAGGTTTAACCATGCTGTTTTAACCTTTAACAGCTGGAATCTGTAGGGTGATATCTGCATTGGTTTGCATTTACCTCTAAGGTGATTTTGCTCCTATTTATTTATTTATTTAACCACTAAGATTCCCTCCTAAGAGGGAGCAGCCAATCAGGGCACATTAAAATGCAACAAATACAACAAAAATCTACAATAAAACAACAAGTATTCAAACATAGTCAACAAAAACAAGCACGTCTGTCACCACATTCTTTATGAGGCCCTTAAATTCATTAATGGATGTAAGTGTTTCTAATATTTAGATCTTTTTGAAGATTGTTCCATGTCCAAGGTGCAGAGTAGGAAAATGCAGTTTTCCCCAGATCTAAAGCATCCACTTGGAGCTAGCGTGGGAACTACCAGAGCTATATGAACACCATTATATGAACTAGAGATTTAGATTTGGAGGGGTTTATTTACAGCGGTAATGCCCCAAATCAAGTTGTTCCAGCTTCACAAGTGATGAGATTTGATGGTTTTTCTGTGCAGGGGCGTAGGTTTGTTTGACTGTTTTGGGGGGCGCATATGAAAGAAGGGTGTCAGGAAATTTTGAGCGCCAAACACGAAACGTGAAGTTTTATGCAACAATTTGTGCCTTTTCCACATCAGTGTATGGTGTAAATGTCTTTAATTTCATCAAATCAAAAGTCTTCTGCTACTTTCATGTCATTGTAGACCAAATCACAATTTTTGTTTACAATAACTTCTGGGTGGAAAACCCCTGCGACATATAAATAAAATCAAACGGTGCTGAGCAAACACAGCCTCATTGGGTTCGCCACCTAAAGAAGAGGCCTACCTAAAAAAATAATGATATTAGTTTAAGTGTATGCTATATTTAGAATATTTTCATCTTGCAGTCAGACAATCGTGAAGTCATTATTTCAAAGCCACCAGACACCACTTAAGAACATGAGAGTTGCTGCCTCGATCAGCTAGTGTGCAAGGTAAAGCGGTGAAGATATTCCAAATGTAGCGTACACTGAGTCATTAATTAATTTTCCGTAACCACTTACCCTGTTAGGGGTCGCTGGAGAGCTCGATCCTATCCCAGCTGACACTGAGCGAGAGGCAGGGTACACCCTGGACAGTTCACCAGACTATCACAGGGCTGACACATAGAGACAGACAACCATTCACACTCACATTCACACCTACGGACAATTTAGAGTCACCAATTAACCTGCATGTCTTTGGACTGTGGGAGGAAGCTGGAGTACCTGGAGAAAACCCACACTGAGACAGGAAGAATATGCAAACTCCACACAGAAGGGCTGATACTGATTTTTTAGGTGGGACTTTGGTTAGGTGGCTAAAACACATTTTGCTGTGTCCCCTGTCCGCAGCAGTGCAATGCTTAGCTTCTGTGCCGGTAGATTTAGGTGCTAGCAAAGCAACAAAGCAGTAAAAATAAGCACAGCAGAAACATAAGACAGTGTTTATCTCGTACACACACACAGCAAGAGGGTTCCTGGTTTTCGAACCCAGGGTAGGGAGCCCTTCTGTGTGGAGTTTGCGTGTTCTCCCCATGTCAGTGTGGGTTTTCTCCAGGTACTCCAGCTTCCTCCCACAGTCCAAAGACATGCAGGTTAATTGGTGACTCTAAATTGTCCGTAGGTGTGAATGTGAGTGTGAATGGTTGTCTGTCTCTATGTGTCAACCCTGTGATAGTCTGATGACCTGTCCAGGGTGTACCCTGCCTCTCACCCAATGTCAGCTGGGATAGGCTCCAGCCCCCCCGCGACCCTCAAGAGGATAAGCGGTTACAGAAATGAATCTTACTTATCTTTATCTCTAAATATTGAGGGGGGACATGTCCCCTGCATCCCTCCAAATCTACGCCTATGTTTCTATGCTCTTCTCTGATAGTATATTGAAAATATCTGAACTGTTGGTGGGACAAAACAAGACATTTGAAGATGTCTTCCTGATGGACTTTTTCCATAGTTTTTCCATGTGAATAATCAAAGTGGATATTTCTAGAAACGTGTTTGTGCCCCCAGACATCCTGAACGACGCCATATTTGATGAAGACCACAGTGAGATGGTGATTGTGAAGAACATAGACATGTTTTCGCTGTGTGAACATCACCTGGTGCCCTTTTTTGGCAAGGTAAAGCTGTGTGTGTGTGTGTGTGTGTGTGTGAGGGGGCTATTTTAAGACATGCACGTGGAGTGTTTCTGGGTTGAAACCAAATAAATCACCATTCATTCAGCATTTGAATCGCTAATATTTACCATCCTTTGCTCTGATTGTATGATCTCTGCTCTCGTTGGCTGACCTCTCGTTCCAGGTTCACATTGGGTATATTCCCAACAAAAAAGTGGTGGGACTGAGCAAGCTGGCAAGGTAACACACACACACACACTACCCTCCTGCTGCCACTGCGGCTGTATGTTTCTGGCGTTAGAGCTGGGTGACTGCGTTCTTCTGTTATTCCAGCACATTGACCTGGAGGATTAAGTCTAAGCCCGGTGGCCATCATCTAGTCCCCTCATCAAGCACACTCACAGTCACAAGTCTGAACTCTATCCGCTCTCGAGCCATGAGAAAATCCCTTCGGACCTGTGGGAATCACCCGTTATAATCACAGCCTTTTTGTCTGGCTCCTTCTTCCTCCCTTTCCTAAAATATCACACCGTCTCTGAACACACAAACCCAAAATAACAGTAATAGAGTCACTGGGTTTTTTGGACAAATCTTCCACGACAGATTCAGAGAGTTCTGTAGGGTGAATCATTCACAGATGAAGGGTCTGTACAGTTGCATGGCCAGAGTAGAGGCCGGGGGTCAGGGACTGATGTCACTCTGTGTTTATCAAAAGATTACTCATTATTATGCCCGATCTTTAATCAGTACTCTTTGCTTGTGCTCTGGTTTCTGCAGGATTGTTGAGATCTTCAGTCGGAGGCTTCAAGGTAAGCAAATTATGCAATATTAATAGGATTTTCATGTAACTGCCGCAGTTTTCTTCTAATTTACCCAAGAATTTGAATGCACTCTGGTACCATCGTGTTCATGTATGTCCCCATTGTTTTCTTTCAGTTCAGGAGCGTCTGACCAAGCAGATTGCCATGGGAATATTAGAGGCTGTGCAGCCAAAAGGTGTAGCTGTGGTCATTGAAGCAGCGTAAGTTCAGTGACACACACACACACACACACGCACACACACACACACACACACACCATCATCATCTGAATGATTTAAAGGTCTAGTGTTTGTTGTATCTAGGGGTGAGGACTGTAGATTACAACCAGCTGAAACTTCTCCATGTTAGAATTCCTACTGTGCTTATTATCCAGGAGGTTTTTACTGGGAGCCGAATTATCAGCAGAGGTCTCTTTCTCACCAAAACAAACAGACCAGGTGATTCAAACTGGTAAAAACACTGAATAAAGCAGTTTCGTGTTAAAAAAGGGTGTTTTTTGAGACTGCACATCGCAGAGGGGGTGCTAACTTATTTGGTTGGGGTTCGGCCCACTTGACATGCTGCTGTGTTGTGCTATGGCCTATTCAAGAGCTGGAATTTGTTATTTACGTGACAACACCTGAACGCAGGACAGGCTCCACTCCAATTGAGTGCAGCGTGTTTGACTGTGCGTAGCAGCAGCCTTTTGATTGTCACTGTCCATGTGTGATCACGGTAAAACAGACAAGCTGTAACCATGGTAACAATAACTATGTCAGGTAACAAACTGCGTAAGGCTCGGGTCGGGTTCGGACTTAAAAATCAGAAAGTCAGTCGGAGTCGGGCAGGGCTCAGGTTCACTCTACTGGGAATATATATATTGTACTTTTTACATTGGCTGTTTTATGTCGTTATTTGTGTACTCAGGTCTCTTTTTAAAATTAGATCCCATCTCAACACTTACCTGATTAAATAAAGGTTTATACATATATTTTTAACCACAATGGCTGACGAGAAATCACAAAATGCCCTGTCTGGAGCCAGTATTTGGTTTGTCCGGTTTAGCTGTTGTAGAAACATCGCGGTGCAACATGACAATTTCTGTGGACGAGGAACCACTCCCTATGTAGATACAAGCGGCTCATTCTAAGGTAACACAAACACAACAATTCTTATTTTCAGGTGGTTATACACCAATGGAAACATTTCTACCAATACACCCCCCTGAATCCTCCACACTGGACCTTTAAAGCTGCCCTACTACCTCAAGGGTAAAATGTAAAAATGTCACGTTTCCTTAAAGTGAGACGAGACGACTTTTCTCAAAGCACGTCAAATGCTGCGTCTGCAAATGCCATGTGTGTATGTGTTTGTTTGCAGGCACATGTGCATGGTCATGCGTGGCGTCCAGAAGATTAACAGTCGCACGGTGACAAGCACCATGTTGGGAGTTTACCTGGAGGACCCCAAAACCCGTGAGGAGTTCCTGGCTCTCTCACAGAGCGCCTAACACATGTCATTCACTCCAGGGCCTCTGAATACGGTCGCACACAGAAAGCTCTAACAGTGGGTCCGCGGTCAAACCAACAGCAGGTGACACAAATTTGCTGTTTGATGCAGGAGCCGACTCTGGAGCTCACCTCAATACACTGAAGCCTGACAGATATCAGTCCTGCTGCAGAAATGCATCACTGTGAACATTATAGGAAAATGTAAGACTCACATTCTTGGTGCCTTTGGTAGATATTTTACAGTCTTACATGGCAATATTGTTGTTATGAAGTATGAAACCTGATGTTGTGACATGTCAGTACGTAAGATTTTCACTTTTTTTGTTTGTTTGTATGTTTGTTTTATGGGAATTTCATGGGTACTTACTCCTTACATACTACTTTATTATTTAGAATCCACTGATTTTAATAATCAAACCAACAGTGTCATTTATAGATGCATTTATAAAGTCTTTGTAATATATATATGTATGATATTTCTAAGATACAAATTATATCTGTAGTCCTTGAGTAGAATAAATTATGTGCACAGTAGATTTTTGGTTTTACTAATAACCACCGTAGCGCGTATGTAAAGATTCTTTGCTTAAATAAAATGGTCGAAACATTATGACAGTTGTCAACCTTTTTTTTGTGGGTGTCAGTGAGAGGTAACAGCCGATGTTAACCTTGAGTAAGCTAACAACAGGAAACAGGCTAGAATTCACACAGGCTCACCAAAACTGGACAATAGAAGATTGGAAAAACGTTGCCTGGTCTGATGAGTCTGGATTTCTGCTGTGATATTCAGATGGTAGGGTCAGAATTTGGTGCACCTTGTTGAATCTGTGCCACCAAGAACTAAGGCAGTTCTGGAGGCAAAAGGGCTCCAACCTGGTACTAGCAAGGTGTACCTAATAAAGTGGCCAGTGAGTGAGTATCAGCCAGCAGCCATCCTTGTATAATCTGTATATGACAAAACAGCTATTAACTTAAGTATTCACCGATGTCCCTGAATGTACCACACCACAGAATAGCATGAGCAAAAGGTCAGTAAGGTAACAGGCGAACTAGAGGATCCATAATTATATAACCAGTCAGAGCTGTGCTCAGTGTAACCAGAATAGCCTGTTGTTAATATTAATCACTCTCTTCAGCAGGTGACTCGGCTAAACCGGTGTGAACATCCAATTATTTGCTACACCCCAACAATACCTCCTGTGTATCACGTGCGTTAGGTGGAGGCGGAGGTCGATGCAGTGTGTTTGTGCTGTGATACAACAGTGTAAATCAATAACGAAACATAAAAACAAACGAGAACACATGTGGGTGAAGGCCTGAGGGAGAGCACGGCCTTTAAATATCAAAAGGAGGAGCCTGTCGTCAGACAACCTGTGAACTATAACCTTCATCTTCGACAGCAGTGGAGGAGGGGTCACGCTCGACAGCACAGCATGTAGTTTCCAAATGTGATTATGTAAGAGTAAACTAATTATTACAGGCATACGGGACAAATATGGGTATGCTGTGCGTAAGAGGCTAAAATTGTCCCCCTCATGGCTTCAGGCAGAGGTATAAAACAGTCCAGTCAGTGTCTTTTATCATGAATGGTTTAATTCACAAAAAATGCAACACTTAATATATTACAGACAGAAATCAGCTTTTCAAAAAGCAAAGTATTGAATTTAAAATTTACAAATAATGTAGAAGCTTCGACTAGAGAAACAGGTGATGACCAGTGGTGTATTTGGATACAACAGTGCTTCCCTGTGTATGGCCACTAAAATAGGTCCAGTGGCATTATATATTATTCTGTAATAAGAGGGCAAAGCCAGCTCCAAATCTCTGTCTTTCACAAAGGTGGGAAGAAAAACTAAAGACTCAAAGCTGTTTACTACAGAACGTGGTTAAAAACATACTGAAAATGTGACGAAAGGATGACAAACATCACAGCAGTCCCATCCTCACATCTGTTATTCACTCTTAGAAATTGTCACACAGATGTCTGCTTGTAGTTCTTGGTGTCCAAAACCTTCTTTCCACACATTGCACAGATTCCTGGAGACACAAAAAGGAGGAAAAACAGAAGAGCAATTAACAAAATATCAGTGAAGAAAGAGGAGCCTTGTGTGTGATTTATCCTGGCTTCATATGAGCAGAGGAAACGTTTGCTGGCCGCTAGGCTAATTTATACAATGTGAAATGCCATAGGCTGGTGCTAATAATGTTATCTGAGGACAGTTTGTTAAAGTCCACTGAAGTCATTGTGAAGTTTGTTGAACCATTTGAGAATGAAGCCATCTTCTGCTGCACTTGGACCTGCCATTCATTTGTCTTTGCTGCTTCTTGTTTGCCCACTGCGCCTTTATCGGGCCTGATTTTCTGCAGCTGAATTTAAGACACTGATGAGCTGCTGCCAGCAAATACAATACAGTCAAACAGTTTCAGTTAAATTGACTGAACCTCTTGATTTTGTATGCAAATGTTCTCCATTATGCATGACTGTTACTCAGAACTGATGTTAAAGAGCTCGTCCACATATAACTAGAATTACTGGCTCTCAGTTGTAGGCCTCAGCAAAACAGTCACAGTTAACATCCATGTCTGTCCAGAGTCATATTTAGCCATGACAGTTGACAATGCCTCACACGGTCACCACAGTTTCATGATCAGTGTCACCAATCCATTATTTGACCAAATGTCTCCACTTCTGAGTTATTACACTTAATAATGGCCAGAAAAGCGTTTTTTCACAGAACATTATGACATCATCGTGAGGTTGACCTTTTGGAAATTAATTTAATCCTTCCATCATTTTATTCTATTAGACATTTGTGTGAGATTTTATCGTAATTAGTGTATGAAGTCTTGAGTTATGGCCAAAATTATGTTTTGTGAGGTCACAGTCACCTCTGACCACCAAAATCTAAGCACTTAATTGTTGAGTCCAAGTGGATGTTTGTGCCAAATCTGAAGAAATCCCCTCGAGGTGTTCTTGAGATATCCTGTTCACAAAACTGGGACAGTTGGATGTACTGCCAAACAGATGGTCATATGGAAAACCTGAAAACATAATGCCTCTGGCCGCAGTTACTGCCAGCATGGAGGCCTGCAAAGCTGTTTTCTCACATACCTCTAGTGCTGTCTAAGGCGGTAGTTATACTTCTGCATTGAATTGACGCCGTACCCTACACTGTAGCCTGACGTGCACCTCCCCAGAAATGTAACTACATGTCGCGGCAATGCAGACCTCCTGTCTATTTCTGTAAGCTGAAACCATTTCCCTCAGTGGAAGCAAAGCTTTTATTTACTTTAATTTCACAGATAAGAAACAATAAATTGTGAAAACAATAAAGCCTCCACAAAAATAGCATTTTAAGTCTTGTGTGTGATTTATCCTGGCTTCATACGTTGCTAGGCTAATTTATACAATTTAAAATGCCATAGGCTTGTGCTAATAACATTAGCATGTTATATTTGTTTGGAAAACGTGTTTAGTATAAGACAGTTGTTTTGTCAGTGAACCTTGTGAGTTGTAATGGAGCCAAATTTTGTAATGTTACCTTTGTTAAATGTTGCTTTTGTCCCTGGCTTCATATGAGCAGAGGAAAAGATTGCTAGCTGCTAGACTAATTTATACAATGTAAAGTACCATAGGCTTGTGCTAATGACGTTAGCATGTTGTATTTGTGGGGAAAATGTGTCCAGATAAAGACAAGTGTTTGTCTGTGAATGCTGCGAGTTATAGTGAAGCTGATTTGTGTACTTGTGTTTGAAATTGTCTCTACTAAGCCATGTTTAATGTGTGTTTAATGTGAGTTTTGAATCAACTAAACTTAACATCAGTGCACAAGTACTCACAACGGTGTAGGCCATGTGTGTAGGCTACGGCGTTTCACATGTTAAAAAATCTCAAACACAATTCCTTTTTCTGTTCAGTATGGAGTCCTGTATGTGTGTGTTCATACCTTTCTTGTATGCACAGCCCTGGCAGTAATGCGATCCAGACTGATGAACTGAGCTCTTGCAGATCCTGCACGTAGCAAAGCCCGTCTTGCTGTATGGATCAAACCTGCGAGGGAGATGCATTACAGATACATGATTAGAGATGCACCAGTATGTGTTTTAGCCATGCTAGCGACACAGGTCTAGGGGAAAAATGTACTTGCATAATGTTAATGTGCAACAATCAGAATGAGCCGATAAAAACTACATTAGTGTGACTTCTTGTAAACAAAAAAAAAACACAGATGATGGTGATTTAAAGTCGGACTCACCTGGCTTTCTTGGAAGTCAGGATCTTGTTTTCATTTAGCTTACGGCCACCACCCTCTGAGTGGGAGAAGGAGCTCAGTTAAACATCATCATCAGAGTAACACGACATCATAGTATGTGACAATTAAAAGAAATCCAAAACAGTACTGAAGATGTGTTATTTAATCTAAAAAAAAATTCCTTTTAAAAATTGTAAGGCAACAAAATAGAGAATGCCAAGAGGGGTGAACACTTTCACAAGCCACTGTAAATGACATTAGTGGCACCTCAAGTACACTGGTGATATGAATCCAAGTTCAAGCTCGTGTCCTATTTGACTATCTTAGTAGATGAATACACATTTACAGAGATAAACAACATATCGCTTGTACTCTTTGCGATTTTGTGTATATGCTTGTCACAAACTCAGTGTGTGTATTTGGGTGTGTTTACTCTTGTGCCCGTGGAAATCTGAACTCTTGATCAAAAAATAAGCTGAATATTTGAGGTATTCCTTGTCACCCACTGAATAAACAAGATGTAGTTCATTTTATATATATTTTTTTAAAGAATGTGGAACAAAAACACATTTCTTCATTTGCATCTGTACAACTGAATCTCCCGCCTCCTGGCCTGAAGGCTAAAAAGGACCACATCAGGGAGCATATTCAAAGTGGCCATGAAAAGATGGCGTCTCAGTAATTTACATCTTGATTTGTATCGTGAAGAGAGCTAAGGACAAGTTGGCTTTGACACTCTGCCATTATGCTTAGGATTAGCTTGCTCCCAATGTAGCCATACATACATATATGAGCTATGTGCAGTGGCAATATTAACAGATTAAAAACATATTTCCAGTGAATCTGTGTCCTCGGTTTACCTGTTGTGTTCCGTGCTCCATCCTTCCAGGTGTCAGGTGTGATGACTTTACCGAGCTTCTTCTCGCCTGAAATAAAACGTAACACAGAATTTGTTGAGACAATAACAAACTCATTAAAGAAATAAAGTCGTAGAGTGAGGTCAGTAGCTAACGAGTGCAGTTAGCATTCACATAGCGTTAGCTTTGAAACAATCTCCAACCCTCATACACGGCACAAATATAGGTTATATTTAAAGATAGAAAAGATTTAACAGGATGATACGTACATTTTTCGCAAACCATCTTTTCCTGTGTTTTTTTTAAACCGATATTTTTCAACGGTTGGTCAAAATAGAGATCAAAATATTGGCTAAATCTTAGCTTGCTCAGTTAATGTTTGTAAACTTCCGGTCGCTTCTTCCTCGTCTCGTACTTGCAAGAGATTGATTGGTCAAAGCTGTGACGAACTCACACTTCATTGGCTGATACTGACGTCCGTCACGGAAGGTCCCAGTAAAACTTCACTGCCCTCCTCTGATGATTGGTTAGAGGTAGGTTTGACGTCTGAGGTCAGAGCCCTTCTTTTTCAAAATAAGAGTCCACTGAAAGTGGCCTATGCCCATGATACGTGATACGGGTCACATCCTAGATGCACATGATATAACAGTATTTGACAGCAAATAAGTTACATCATATGTTAATTAGATTAAAGAAAAATGCTGAAATAAATAAACCAGAAATAATCATACACGCAAAAATGTGCTGCATTTCCTGTATGAAAGGTGCTATATTATGGAAGCATGTTGCATTCACTGAGTAAATAAAAAAAAAAAAAAAATCGGCACATTATCTCGTAATTACGGGATCTTATGTCGTAATAAGGCCTTCTTGCTGATACTGTAGTAACGTTAACGTTGACTGATTACTAAAGTGAGTCCACCGAAAGACAGAAAGACGATACTTCCGGTCAGCGTTTTTCAGAATAAAAGCATTATATCTGTCAACTACGAAAGCAAATTGAGATAAGTCGTAATTACGAGGTAAGATATTGTATTGTTAATTAAATGTCCGAATATATTAATATAATATCCGAAAAAAAAATTTAAAAATCTGCCCGTAATATTATTCATAAAATGTCCGAAAATTGTTAATAAAATGTCCCACAAATAATAAGAAATGATGTGGAAAATTATTTTAAAAAATGTTCAAGAGTACCCAACTGCAGGCTCTCCAAATATTAATAAAATGTCCGAATATTACTCATGAAATGTCCGAAATATAATTAATGAAATGTCGGGAAAGAATAAATAAAATGTCCAACAAATTATGAATAAAATGTCCGAAAAATTATGAATAAAATTTCAGAAATATTATTAACAAAATGTCCGAGAAGAAATGATAAAATGTCCGACAAATTATAAATAAAATATCTGAAAAAATATTAATAAAATGTCCGAAAAAATGTTTATTAGGCGATAATGTGTCGATTTATAAAGTTTATTATTTTTACTATTATTATCATTATTATTATTAAGACCGTGTAAGATGTACGGAAGCGCACTGCATTCACCGAATAAACATAAAATCGACAAATTATTTCGTACCATCACGATCTCGTAATTACAATATGTGTTGATTTTTCGTAGTTTACAAATATAATGCTTTTATTCTGAAAAACGCTGACCGGAAGTACAGTCCTTGTGTTTCTTGGTGGACTCACTTTACAAAACAGATAACGTTAACATAGACATATATACACATATACACATATGAACGTTAACGTTATTACGGTATTAGCGAATGGCCTTACTGTAGTACGTCATCAGGATCTCGTAATTGATAAGGTGTCACTTTTTAATTTCTTCAGTGAATGCAATGCGCTTCCGTTAAGATGTTGTATTTTTAAATGAAATATTATTGTGTTTTATTTCATGTCATATTGTGAGCTCACCTTGCATTTTCACATTTAATTTCGTTGTTTATGTCCACTGACAATAGCAATAACACACCATTTTGTGACAAGATACTATTGAACTTTTATTGTGAAGTCCAAGCGGAAGTCTTCGTCACTCCATGTTTACGGAAGGCAGGTCACTCATGGATTCAACCTACTCTGAACACCCGCTGCTACATTAACGTTTTAAAGTATTTTATTTGTCTTCTGTTTATCGTTTCAGCCTCCTGTTGTAGATAGTTACACTCTCCGTCATGTGGGACCATGAAATCAGAGCCATGGCGTCCACTCACGCCATTATCGCCTCCTCGGTGTTCATGGCCACCGTCCTACCTGCGGCGCTCGTGCCGGGCTTCTCGGTGTACGGCACTCACCTGCTGTGGCTTTACTCGGTGTCCGGGGCAGTCACCGCGGTCAGTGTTGCCGTCTTCTGGCTGCTCGGCATCACACCTCCCACCAAGAAGCACACAGTGGGATACAAGGTGCTGACTTACGTTCATTGCGACTGTTAAACTAAAATACGGAAGCCGCGAGTAAAGTAGTCCAGTTAATCTGTGGTTTGACTCAGGGAAAATTGCAATAGTAATCATTAGAGAGTTTTTGTGATCTCTTGGGACATCCAAATAACATATTAAACGTATACCATTATATACTTATGGGACTGGGGCCATTATGGTGTATAGGTGTACCTTTAATATATGATGCAGCAGCAGGGTATTAGGACATTACTGAAACATTACTATTGGAATTTCTCCCAGGTTGGGCTCATTTTTGAGTTAGATTGACTGGACTAAAAGTCCTGCATTCAAGAAGAAAAAGCACAAATGAAGGTAGAGAAGTACAGTCAGCAATATGTACTTTAAGTCTGAACAGTAAAAGTACAGACTGCAGTAACGATATTATTTCCCAGAGCTGGATATTAGCGCCATCCACCAGCCAAATGCTGGTAAAATATGGAAGTGGCTGCTCTTTTTGCTTCACTCAACAGCCCAAACAGTTCATTTCCACCCTGTTACTACTGATATTATCATATATTGCATTATCAGATTGTTAATACTGATGCATTAATGTGAAAGTAGCATTATAAAGTAGCTTGTTGGGGTCAGCCCCCTCAAAAAGGGCCTCACAAAGCAAGTTTATTCAAGTCAGAAACACAAACAGTTTAACTGCCACGTAGGCTTACAGTGCAAAAGTCAAGAGACATGATATAAAACTGGAAAATATACAATTGGGAATGTAAAAAATAAAAAGAAATATGTAAAAGTATACTATTCATATATATTTTTCAAGGGAGTGAACTTTTCGGGCCCGAGAGACGTTCATAACTGGGTATCAAAGGCTCTGACTTTCACTCTTAAAACTTTGACAGACTTTTCACGTGATTTATTCCTTTACCTGTTTCTCTCCGCAGCTGTCTCGGTTGTTTCGGTCCTGCCTGTACTTCTTCCTGTCGTGCCTGTTCTTTCACACTGTGGTTGTTCTCTATGGAGCCCCGCTGATTGAGTGAGTAGCTGCTGTACTTCTACAGTATGTTTGTATACTGGAGAGATAAAACAGTAAAGGTTGCCCGTTTTTGAGATTGCATTAGTTTCTATATCCTGTAATTATCCACTCCTAAGAGGTCCTGCTTTCTTTGCTCCGCTGTATCGACGCAGTTTCTGCTTGTATCAGCCATACTGCGAGCCTCACATTTCTCCTGTGTGTTTCAGGTCGGCCGTAGAGACGTTCTCCCTCTCTGTGCTGCTGACCTCTCTCACCACGCTGAGGTGCCTCTGTGTCCTCGGCCCCAACGTCCAGGCCTGGATACGAGTGTTCAGCCGACATGGGTGAGCCTAAAATCAGCTTTTCTTTTCCCCCTGCTCCTTGTCCTTCTGTTGTTATGTTTCACGTGCTTCTCCCATGTCTCTAAATTGAGTGTACTAACTGTTGTTGCTCTGTCTCTGTCTCCAGAGCGATGTCCGTGTGGGACACCTGTCTGCAGATTACAGTGGCCTGCACAGTGGTAGGAGCCTGGGTGGGAGCCTTTCCTATTCCTCTGGACTGGGACAGGCCATGGCAGGTCAGCACACACTCAGGAAATCCTCTCACAGTATATAAAAAGACATATTTATGCCTTTACTGTTTTTTAAAATCACAGTACGTGCACAACATGATAAAGGCATGTCCCTAATAATGAATTTCTATAACTTGTGTACAATGTTTAAAATAATAGGAGTATTTTTTCTGTTTGATGTCCCCTGGCGTACGGCTCAGTTTCACCTCAGTTTCCTCTGTTAACAAGAAGCCCGTTGTTTCCATCATCCAACAGTATTAAATACAACTTCCATAAGTCTGAAATTAGGATTTAAAGCAGTAACCATCAAATGTTTTATTCAATTCAAGTCTTTTAAATGACAAAAAGGAAAAAGATTAATGTTCTCATTGTAAAGGGAGTTCTCTGCAAAATGATTCAGAGGGAGACAGTTGTAATTGGAGCATAACTCCGAATGACACCGTTGTACTTTTGGATTTACAAGTTCTTCTTTACATTACAAGTGGTGACATGGTGGGGACAAACTATGACCCTGTCAAACAGTTAAGCAGGATTTATACTTGTGCGGCAGACCCTACGCCGTTGTGAGCATTTATACTTGTGTGTTGGTGTGTCTGTGTCACTCTGCAGTTACTGTGAAGTGCTGTAAAGTTTACTTGATTCAAAACACACGTTAAACACACATTAAACATGGCTTAATAGAGACAGTTTCAAACACAAGTTATAATGCGGAATATATTCATCGACATGGAGCCTACATTGAGCTGAAACCATTTCCCTCAGTGGAAACAAAGCTTTTATTTACTTTAATTTTACAGATAAGAAACAATAAATTGTGAAGACAATAAAGCCTCCACAAAAACAGCATTTTAAGTCTTGTGTGTGATTTATCCTGGCTTCATATGAGCAGAGGAAATCTCAGCTTGTCGCTAGGCTAATTTATACAATGTAAAATGCCATAGGTTTGTGCTAATAACATTAGCATGTTGTATTTGTTTGGAAAACATATTTAGTATAAGACAGTTGTTTTGTCAGTGAACCTTGTGAGTTGTAATGGAGCCAAATTATGTACTGTTACCTTTGTTAAATGTTGCTGTTGTCCCTGGTTTTATATAAGAAGAGGAAAAAGTCTGCTAGCTGCTTGGTTAATTTATACAATGTAAAATGCCATAGGCTTGAGCTAATAACGTTAGCATGTTGTATTTGTGGGGAAAATGTGTCCAGATAAAGACAAGTGTTTGTCTGTGAATGCTGCGAGTTATAGTGAAGCTGATTTGTGTACTTGTGTTTGAAACTGTCTCTATTAAGCCATGTTTAATGTGTGTTTAATGTGTGTTTTGAATCAACTAAACTTTACAGCACTTCACAGAAACCTCCGCCACTAACTAGTGTTTAGCATAGGGTCTGCCTCACAACTATAAATCCAAGCTCACACTTCATTAACGTGAATGATCAGACTCACGCGTTCTTCCTCTTGTAGGTTTGGCCTGTTTCCTGCAGCCTCGGCGCCACGATCGGCTTCCTGACCGGACTCGTTGCAGCTCCCGCGTGGATCCACTATCACCGCAAACAGCTCACATACAAGTGCAAGTGATGGACAGACGTGTACGTTTGTGTGTTTGTGACCACGGGGGCATGTCTCATATTCCTGCTGTGTTCCTTTAACTTTATACTGATTATTTATTGGGAACATTCACTCCGTTTGCCGCCTGTAGGAAAGATGATTTTGTAATAAAACATGACGGTGTAAGCAATATTATTTTGTACCCTTGAAGGCTGAATATGTTCCTGAAGGTTTTTGACATGAATAAAGTATTGCTTCTTTCTTGGAATTTTTTGAATAAAGGGTCAGGTTTTCATTCAGTACAATTACTCCTTAGTACAAATTTGAGGCACTTTCCATGAGTGTTTTCCTCGCACACCACTTTAAACTTCTACTCTACAACGTTTCACTTCACCACACTTATCTTACTTACTTTACAAATTAAGATTTTTGCACACAAAACTTTAAAATGTCCAAGTACAGTACAGTATTTTTCATTTCATGGATTCAGCTTCTCAAATGTGTGAATATTTGCTGCTTTTCTTTTTAATAATTGAGTCTATAAATGCTAAAACCTGTAGGTGGTGCTGTTGGATCACCACCTGAATTGTGTGTGCGTGTGTGTGTGTGAGGGTGCAGACAGTTTAAATGAAGACAAGAAATCAAACCTCACACTCATTTGCAAAGTAATACAAAGTAATCAGTATCATGGTTGGGTGGTCATTTATTGATAGAGCTGTTGGAGAAAGTTAGAAAGTTAAAAAGTGTAAACTCACTGCAGAGTGTACTCCCATCCTTGCGCACACACACACGCACACACACAGGCACCGTTCTGCACCTGCGAGCTGACTACTGATGAATACTGTTCCTTTTTAAACAGCCATTAATCTTGCTCCAACTCTATTTCAACACCCTCCTCCCTCTCCAGCTCTCGTTCTCATTCCAGCTTGTTCACATCCTCGGGCACCCATATTGATTCACTCTCATTTTAGGGACATTCATTTTCCTCCTTTCATGTCGCCCACATCCCTGGTTCTCCCCTCGCAGTCCAGTAAGCAGAATGAAACTTATATTTTCTGCATCGTGGTGTCAAATTGTGGAGTAAATGAAGGATGTTTGCGCAGTCTAGACTCTTCTGATAGAATACAACTTAGGCAATTACAAGGAGGGGGGAAAAAGAAATGTCAGTCATCTTTGCAGTGTGAGTGGGATCGTTGGACAGTTTCAGCGCAGAGCCAGGGGCAGAGCCGCCCGCTCGCCCTGTGTTTGAACTCTTGCGTAAGGTAGTTGCCAGGGAAAGGCTGAGGAAAAATAGCCTGAAGGAAAAGGAGAGAAAGAGGGGGAAATGCATTTTCAAAACCCATAAAAGAAGAGAGGGAGTTTCAAAGCCTTTTAAGTAGCCCAGATACACTTTTGACACCAATCAGCACACCTTTTTCATGCCTCAATCCCTCCATCCATCTCTGTGATGAAACTCAATACCACCACATGCTGTTCCCTCCATTACCCTGTGCTTTTTTTTCTACTTTCCACCTCCTGATATGTTATTACCTGTGGAGAGCAAAGGAAGTGACGGGCAGAGCCCTCGGAGAGCAAAGGGTGTGATCTAAATGATTTCCCCGCCAACCTCCATGATGACTCATATGTGTCACCGCACTGGGCATGTCACATCTGGTGGGTTTTGTTTTTTCTCTTCTGGTTTTTTTTTTTTGGAGTGTCTCATTTTTGTCCCTCTAGGTGTTCTCATGAGTGCACTTGATGTACGTCGAGGACAGGAATCTGGATGGAGTTGCTTTGTTTGTGTGCTCAGCTCCAGTTGCGGCCCCCTCGTCTGTGAGACAAGAGGAAGGCCGTTTGCTCAGCCCACAAAAGCTGCTGCTTTACAAATTACTTTCCTTGTTCAATCTCAGGGAACTTTATTTATTCATTGTTTGTTCTCGGGCTGTGCTATTGTAGCAGGGCATTGCGAGGAGAGGTAATTTGTCACTCCCAGCACCTCTCCTCTCCCCAGCCTTTCCTGCGAGGCTGCTGCTGTTGGCATTAGCTGTTGCGTTTCTGCAGAGTGTCCTGAATTAAGATGCATACCCTGCTCTCTATGGCAGATCACTGGAAATCAAACCTGGCTTAATATTTTTCAGTAGTGAATCAAATGACTGGGCAAAAAACACATTGCTGAGAACACAGAGTAATAACACCCAGCTCTGCAGATTTTTTTCTTTAGCCATTATCTTGGCTTTACAGCCGGCAGATTAAATTTAAGGTTCAGTCTCACAGCTCTTATTAACTCCAGCTGGAGCAGGCAGCTGTTTTCACCAAGTTCTGATAAATCCTTCGAACACAGCCGAACGGCAGATTGACGAAGAGAGCTGGTGAGGAAAGTTAAACATCTAACAAGCTACAAAGCCAGATATTTTTCTCGGGAGTTGGTGGAGGCCAAACTGCAGGGAGAAGCACAAACAGGATGCCATATGAATGCTAATGTTGCCATATGAATGCTAATGTTGCCATATGAATGCTAATGTTGGTGGTAGTTTTACATCTGTCACCTGTTTATTGATATTCTTCTGCCCTCTAGTGGTAACAAATCAATTAGTGCAGCTTTAAGTAACATAAAGGGCGATTAACTATGATTTACACAACATTTTAATTTATCTTTTATTTTAGTGTATGACCAAATACCCAAGCCAGAAAAAATATTCATGTTGTACATTTTTGCAAACCATGTGTCACAGTGGGCACTTTTCATCCTCCATACACGCCATCTCCTCAACTCATTCAGTAATCTTCCATACACCCCGCCTCCTCACCACACCTACCTGTCAGCCTATGGCTTGTCCACTCATTTCCCGCTCCTGCCGGTCCACCATGCCCACTTCATCAGGCTAACGCCCCTCACCTGTGTATCATTACCCCCGTCACTATAAAGAGGCCTGCTTTACAGACACACCTTGCCAGATTGTTTTTTGCCTATATGCAAGACTTTCAAGCGTCCCTAACTTAAACGACTCTGCCTGTCTGGTTCCTGTTCGCCTGTTTCTTGCGGCTGTAAGGAAAGACCGTCCCTCAGCTTTCCAAAGTCCCCTGTGATCTTCTGAGCTGTTGTGAGGCTGCACACTTCGCTGAATCCATGTGTCGTCGCTGCTGTCGAGCTCTCTCCTATCCACGGCCTGCTTCGCATCGGTAAGACTGCTTTGTCAGTGAGTACTCCTGGTTTTGGAACCTCAGCACTTGGTTATAGATTGGAAAAGATCATGTTTTGGCTGAAAAATGAAATGTGATGACGGGTTGCCAAATAAACAAACAATGTTGTTGGTCTGAAGCTTGGCTTGTCTCGCCAAGGCACCTCCAAAAGTTGGCTTATAGATTACTTAACTTTAGAAACGTCGATGCAGTTAGAAAATATTAGCATGCTAACATACTAAATTATGATGGTGAATATGGCAAATATTCTGTTAGGAGAAGTTAGCCTTTGGGCAGAGACCCCTTTCTTGGTTAGGTTTAGGAAGTAGATCATTGTTTGGGTTATAATAAAAAGATTTCTGTCAAAAAGGCAAACTTCTTCCATGTGTGGCAAATATGGTGAGCGTGCTAGCATTTAGCTCGCAGCATCTCTGTGCCTGAGTACAGCCTCACAGAGCTGCACGTGTCTGTCTTGTTTTATAGAATTAAACAATATTATGTAAGCAAATCCAAAAATAAGTGCCTATATTCAAACCCTCAACTCATCAAATTTTCCATTTGAGCCCAGGCTCTATCAAAGTCGTCGAAATCTGGCGCTTGGTCAGTGACTAGCGGCATCAGAAACCAAAAAAAAAAAGTGTCCTTTAACATCTTCATGAGACGCGGACAGTTGCCATTATAGTTTAAATGTGCAATATGTAATTTTCTGCTGCTAGGGGTTTCAAACCAAAACAATAACAGAAGACAGAGTTTGATGACGTCACGAAGTAGCATGGGATCATGGGAGTTGTAGTCATATAACAGATACAGATCTTACTTAGCTTTACAGTTAGCGATGGCTTCTCCCTATCTGCTGCTCTCTCTTGCTCATGTTTAGCTATTCCTCTGCCTCTTTTATAAATGCAGTTCATTTACTGGCATCAGCTCAGCATTATAGAAACCTATCGTTAGATGTTGTGGTTAGCCGGCCTCCGGCTGGAGCGCTGGTGCCCCGGCGGGCAGCAGTGCTTGCAATACACTGGTGGAAATGATTAATATTTCGATAACATCAGCCAGATGTTTGCTTACCTGTCTAGTAGAACACACGCGAGGTCGGCGTCGAATTGTAGTCCTAGATTTTCACGAAGCTCTCTCCGTCTCGGAAAGGCTACACCAATATTTATCCTTGATTTAGCTCCCAAATTCTTCTGGGATCGCTTGGTTGACCCGTATGTTTCTGTTTTACCGGCTTGTTTACCGGGACAACTTCAGTGTCAGAAGGTGCAGCAACCGTCAATGCATAATCATGATCCATGACGAGTTAGCTTAGCCTAGCAACAGTAACGTTCATTCTCTGACTTCTCATCTGGTCTGCTTCTTCTTCTTCTCCTTCATTTAATGTCTATGGTAACTGGAGTTATGTCGCCATTGACATGCGACCTAATGACACGGTCCGTAACTTTTATTAAAATTTCATATTTATCTGGGTTTGAAAAATTGTTGGAAACATTTCTGATAATCAAAGTACACAACGAAACAAAATATATAATATTGGTTTAGTCGTTTTTAGACATTTTTATGTGGAAAAACTACATATTATACCTTTAACAGTGCCTGGTGGGATAAGAACGAAAGTTAAGGTGGTGAATCCTGGTGGTGAATTTCCTAAATCTAACATCTTCCTTTTGTTGCCTAAACCTACCCTTGTGTGTTTGTTGTTGAAGGAAAAAAATCAGCAATTCACGGTGTTGTACCAACATAGTGCTTTTATTTTGAAAGAGACTGTATGTAAATGTACATTTCCTGTGAAAACAGAAGTGTATCTTGAAAGAAGACAATGCATGTAACAGGAAGAACTTGACACGGTGTCCCAGAGCGTCTACAACCAACGCACCCAGGGTACCTTGCATGTCGTATGTGGACGTGGAAAGTCCATGAACAAACATCAATATGTGACGAGGTCGGAGTGAGAATGTGTTGTCCATTCTGACTCCACTCAAACACAGAATTTTAAATAAAAATACAAAGTGGCTTTACTACAAGAAAAGAGAAGAAGAACAAAGAAATAATACAATTTTTAAAAAAAAGATGAAATCAGTGTCTATGCCTCCACCTCATCCTTTGGTTTAC